AAAAAAAAAAAAATAAAAAATTAAATATTATTTTGAGGAAAACCAAAAAGTATTTCTGCAAGCCTGTATAACCTAAACACACAAAAAATTTAATTTATATGACATTCCAATTAATTCTTCAATTCCAATTATTCTTCAAAAAAAAAAAAATTGGAGCAATTAGTTTTTGTACTTGTTATTATTTTTGTTCAGTACTTTCACAGAGTTAGTTTTTATACATCAACTACGTATACACTGATCTTAAGATATTTACAATTAGTTTTTGTAGTTTGGAGCATATATTGAAAACTGAAAACTCTTAAGTACACATCGCAATTGCATATTTCTTTTATATTTCTTTGTCGATTAACTTGAATAAAATGTAAAATATTATATAATAAAAAGAAAATTGCTTTCATTTTCAATCCCATAATATTTATATTCTGTATATTTGAATTTATATTCGTATATTTGAAGATGACACTTGCCTTTTGGAAACTTTGAAACTTTTACGAACTGGTTGCACACCAGACTTGAAATGGTCTACTAAAGTATCTATCAAAGTTTGATTAAATTTTTTTAATAATTAAATTATTTTCGGCATTTCAATTTAAACTTTGATGAATTTGTGAAATGGAAGTATTTTTAATAAGTTATTAAAATTAGATCACTTATGATTTTTGAGAAAATTTGGGATGGATAAAATGAGTTTTATTTTTTTAATATAAACATTAACAATTTTTTTAACGTAAAATAAAATGTTGAAAATAAGAAAAACTTTACTAAATGTTAATTTCACATTTTTCATTTAAAGTCCCTAACAAAAATTTAATATATAATAAATCAACCACAGATATTTTTTAGAGAAAAGAACCTTAAAATATGTTTTTTCCTCTCCTAATAACAACTGTAAAAATCATTCTACTATATATTTACAAATAGTTTATATGTATTGGATTACTAGAATTTTCATATTAAATAAAATAGAAACTTTTAAAGCAAAAAAAGAAAAATTGCAATTTTTTATTTAAAATAATGAAAATAAAATTGTTTTTTTTTAGAAAGATAAATAAAAATAGAGATTTGAATAAGGGAAAAAAAATTTTGGCGTTCTCACATAATCACATTCATTTTGTTGCTAAATTCATTATCACACTCATCGGTAAAGATTGCAGAATTAATGTAATCTTGAAAATTAAAATTTTTATCGCCTCGAATATCATCGAGATGTCAATCTCCAAAGTCGTTCTCCCTAAATATTAATGGCGCGTTCTATTTTATTCAATTCAATTTAGTCAAATTTTGTAAATGAATAAATGATATTTATCTATTTGCTTGGATAATTAAGGGTTATTAATTTTTATAATATAAGCAACAATTTTAAATTTTTTTTTTCGTTTTTTTAAAATAAAAATATGTAACAATATATAATTACGGTTTGTTGACTGAAACTCTACCTCAATTTTTTAAAATTTATTTAAGTTGCATATATATGAAATAACCCCGAATTTTATTTTCGAAACCTTTGAAATTTTTATTTAAATTTTCAAAAATATTTATTTTTTGACACTGAGAGACCGTACATGGAGACAATTTATTTGATTCCAAGTTTTTTTTTTTGCAAATTGTGGTCAGCCATATAAATGTCAAAAATTTGAAATCGAGAACATTAATTTTCTGAATAAATATAAAAAGTTCCAAGAGCAATTGATCCTATATGTATATAAATATAATTAATTTTTCCTAAAAATCAATATGATTACTTCTTATTATATTTTATTTTATTTAGTTAATGGAGGAATGTTTGAACCGTAATTAAAATAATTAAAATAAATGACGGACTCGAAACGCGAATTGATTTTTCAAAAACCCACACCGAATAATTTGAAAACCAAGTGAAAAACTTATGCAAACTGAACAAAATCCCGGCCGAATCAATTTGAAATTAGACCAAACCGGGTTCGAATCGAAACCGGAAGGTCTAGAAGCCCAGATTTTTCTCTTTTCCTTTTTTATTTCTTTTTCTCTTCTTTTTCTCTTCTCTTCTTTATTTATTGCTTTCTTCTTCTTTCTTTTTCTTTTTTTTTTTCTTTTCCTTTCTCCTTTCCTGGCGGCCAGCGCCATGCGCGCGACCAAACCGGCCCTTCCCCTTTCCTTTTGCCTTTCCGGTCCACCTGAACCAACGCCATTTCCATCGCTTCCCGCTGCCGTTCTTATGTCCTGCTCTTCCTTCACCTCACCTCTGTTGTCTCAGGCTAGCGTATGCTAGCCGCGGGGCTGTCGCAGGAAGCTGCGATCGCGCACCCCTCACCCTCCTCCCTTCGCATTTTTCGCGACGATCAAACGTCCGGCAAGGAGCTTCAATTCGCACCACCTGGACCTCCTGCCTCTGAGTCCTACCATACATACCATTTTTGCTCCGACCCATTTCCATTTGCTCTTGGCCTACTTTCTCTGGCACGATCAGAAAGAGAGAGGGGAGCAGAAGGAGGTTGCGATGATCCAAATCCCGGCCACCTTCGAACGATTCGCCGGGTGGACGACAGA